CTCTCCCACCCCTTGCCATCCTATAAAAAACACACTTTAAAGGGAAAAAAAAGAGAGAGAAACTTTAGCAAAACCAATCAATACATCAAAAAAGTCTGAAAATATGTATAGTGTTCAACATTCATGGATCTCTACAAAGGATTAAGAAACATCTTCTCACACTTCTTCTTTGAGGCCAGGCTTTTCTCAGTAATTCTGCAATACTCACTTTGAGTTCTTTAGGGGTTGATATTCTTAAGGTATGCATTGTGTTGTCAATGTGGATATTGTTTTCTTGGCCCTGTTTACTTCACTGTATTAGATTATTTAAATCTTTCATGCTTCTCTGCATTTATCATATTCATCATTTCTTACAGTGCAGTGATATTCCCTTACATTCATACACCACAATTTGTTTAGCCATTCTCCAATCAATGGGCATCTATTCTGTTTGAAGTTCTTTGCTTTCCACAAAAAGTGTCGTTATCAATATTTTGGTATATATGGGAAATTTGTTCTTATCAATTACGGTTAAAGTGTTATGGACGTTTTTAGTCATTTTATTTACTTAATTCCAATCTGCTTTCAAAAATAGTTTATTAATTCACATTTTCACATTAATTCACATGCCCCAGTGTGTTTATCTTTCCACAACCTCTACAATATTGACTCTTCTTATTTGTTTTCCATCTTTAGCAATTAGTTGGGTGAAAGGTAAAACCTAAGAGTTATTTTGATTTGCATTTCTCTTTCTAAAAAACTTTTCATAATAAGTATATAATAGGATAGGATTAGCACAACTGGTCAATACATAGAATAAGTTCAGCATATTACACCGGGGGGGGGCAGGTGGGAAAGTTGGCAGTATATTTATTTTAACATCTTCTCTCTTGAGCCAAACTTGTTTTTGTAATTTTCCAACATTAATTTTTATTGGGGGGGGTGGGGGTAGTAGAGAAGGCTTTTCTTTCTATTTACATTGTTGTAGTCATTGAGTATATTGTTTGTTTGGCTCTGCTTACTTCACATTATGTCAATTTGTATAGATCTTCCTATGCTTCTCTATATTAATCCCACTTAAAGCAAAGCAATACCTCTCAACTGATGGGCTTCTACTTTGTTTCCAATTCTCTACCACAAAAAGTGCTGCTATAAATATTTTGGGATGGGGGCAGCTAGGTCACACAGCGGATAGAGCACTGGCCCTGGAGTCAGGAGGACCTGAGTTCAAATCCAGCCTGAGACATTTAACACTCACTAGCTATGTGGCTCTGGGCAAGTCACTTAACCCCAATTGCCCTCACAAATTAATGAACGAATGAATGAACAAACAGCTGAATGAATGAATAAATAAATAAATATTTTGGTATATGTGGGGGCTTTCTTCTTACCAATGACCTTTTTGAAGTATAAGCCTGATAATGGAATCTCTGAGTCAAAAGGTATGGACACTTTAGCAGTGAGGAGATAGCCAGAATGTAGCATGGAAGTGTGGGCCTAAGCAAGATAAGGTAAAAGTTCACCTTTTAGAGCCCAAGGACCCTGGTTTGGAGGGCCCAAGAATTTACTCCTTAAGGTTTTTCTTACTTAGTTACTTTGGTCCTTGAAAAGCAGACATAGTGAAAGTTCATTTATAAAACATTATGAAGATACAAAATTTGGAGCTATATCATTTCAAGAAATAGTAATTAGTAGTGGAGAGAAAAGAGAATCTAGTGAAAGGCTGGTGTGAGACCCAACTAAGTGAGATCATTCCAAGAGAATTAAGAGATGAAAGTAGAAGGACCCTGGGATCTATAGGGATATGCTAAAATCATAAATGAAGTGGACCCACCACATCTGTATTCTTAATTCCTTAGTACCTAATAAAGTATATGAGGGAATAAAAAAGATATTTTAAGAGGATGAGGAAATCAGGAAAGATGGGTAGAATTGAATAAGTACACAAGGAGAAAATCTATGTTGGAGGTGACAATCTGAAAGGACCAAAAAATCAACTTTAAGGAAGGAGGAAAGACAGAAGGAGGGAGGGGTAGAGAGAGGAAAGAAGAGAAGAAGAGAAAAGAAAGAAGGATCTCCCTCAAATAGAGAAGAAATCAAATTATGACCAAAAAAGGCAATAAGGAAGACATCAGCAACTACTGACTTACATGACATCTTCCACATTTATTTAAAGCAATCTTTATAAGAGAATAGGTAGATTTTAATAAACAGTTTTCTAGAGCAGATCCTATCTTCAACATTCATACAAGTAGTTGAGAGGTGTAGAGACTGGAAGGTCAGGAGGATGCTAAAATATAGGTTAATTATCTTTACAATACATTTGACAAAGTGTTTCATGCTATTCTTTTGGAGAAGACAAATGTAGTCTAAATAATGGAAAAGTTAGATGGATTTAGAACTAGCTGAATAACAAAACCCAAAGAGTATTTATTAACAGTTTTATATCAACTTTAGCAAAAGAACTGAAGTCAAGTATACAATGGATCTGTTCATGATCCTATGGTGTTGTATACTCTATTAGTCAATAAGTAAATAAGCATTTTTTGTTTGTTTGTTTTTTTGAGGCAATGGGGTGAAGCGATTTGCCCAAGGTCACACAGCTAGTAAGTGTCAAGTGTCTGAGGCCGCATTTGAACTCAGGTTTTCCTGAATCCAGGGCCAGTGCTCTATCCACAGCATCATCTAGCTACCCCTCAATAAGCATTTTTTAAAAGCACCTACTATGTGATAGATACTGGCACTGGGGACACAAAATGAGGCAAAAGACAGTCTCTACTCACAAGTTTCCACCCATTATAAATTGAACAGGGGAGATGGTAATCAAACAAATATGTAAAAACGAGCAATATATTTAACAAAAGAGAGGCACAAGAATTAAGAGGGAGTGGGGAAAACTTCCTGTAGAAAATGAGATTTTAGCTTTATTTGGAAAGAAGCCTAAGAAGCAAAGAGGCAGAGATAAAGAAAGAGCATTCCTAGCCCAAAGGGAAGAGATGGAGTGTCTTGTTTGTGGAATAACCAGGTGGCCAGTGTCACAGGATTGATGAGTGTGTGGTGGGGATTATGGTGTAAGAAGACTGGAAAATTAGTAGGGTGCTAGATTATGAAGGGCTTTGAAAGCCAAACAGCATTTTCTAAAAAATCCTGGAAGCTATAGAGAACCACTGGGGTTTCTTGAGAAAAGGTAGGCTCTTGAAAGCAGAGACTGCCTTCCTTTTCTTCTTGTATTCCTAGTGCTTAACACAATGTGGTGCTTTACACATAGTTAAGTACTTGATAAATGTTTTTACTTATTCATTCCTACATTAAAAATTTTATCAATAACTTGAATAAAATCATACATCGTTATACAATTTTTACATGACACCAAGTTAGGATGAATTACTAATATAATGAGTGAAAGAGGTAGGAACCAAAAGGATCTTAGATTGAAACACAGGGCCAAATCAATTAAGATGAAGTTTAAAAAGAGCTCAATGCAGACTTATACTTGGGCTTAAAAAAAAAACCATCAAAAATAAATAGATATATAAATGAAATAAAACAAAATAAACATCACAAGTATAAGATGGGAGTAAGTGGCTGAAAAGTGTTTACTCTGAAAAAGACCTAGGAATTCTAATGGACTGCAAGCTCAAAATGAGGCAATGTTGTGATCATGGTAAACAAAAGATAATCATAAATGCATGAAAAGAAGCATAGTGTCCGAGACTAGGAAGCTAATAGTTCTGCTTGCATACTAGCTGTGAGACCTGTAGGCAAGGCATAAATCTTTCAGTGCTCTAAACAACTGAAACTATAGTTTGTAGAGACAGTGCTGACTTAAATGGAGTTACTTTCCTCATTTGGGAGTTGTATCAGTGAAACCTTTTAGGTCCAATCCTGATCCCCATCATACTCGATATGTCAAGATTCAATGAATGCCATGTATCACAATGACTACATGATCTCTGTGTACATTGCTCTTATTACATTTTTCTGTTTGTAAACCTGTAAATTATTGGTTTCAAAGCAAAACTATTTCTAGTTTTAATGAACATAATTATTTATAATCTTGCTAGTAGTCTACTGTGACAGTTTTAAAGTTGGAGAGCAGAAGCACAATATTTTTAGTAACCAAAAAAGGGAAAAAGTCATTATAGTCTCAATGTAACATAATTCCTAGCTTTAAGGACATTATAGCTTGAACATCAAGAAATTTGAAAGTTATAATAATATTTTTATCAGTAGGTAATTAAACTTAGAGCAAGAATAATTTCCCATTTTATTTCTTCATTTAAAAAAATGAATGTATTGTTTGAAGATATCACAAAGAAATTTGAAAATGATTAACTTAATTCTATCAACAATAACTTGGAACTTGATAAAATCTAAAATATGAAAAAATTTCTAACCGGTAACAAAAGGTGGGATGGAGTCATCATAAGCCTTTCTTGCAGGACAACAAAATCACCTCTAATACAACCAATGTGATACCCAGGGAAAAGAATAATCTCAACAAACATGAGAGAAAATTAGACACTAATTTAACAGGCACAGGATGTCAAGAAAAAAGAAACAAAAAATGGAAGCCCAGCATGCTGGATGACCTAGGAATGGTTGACAAGTAACAGAAAGTCTCTGGGGACTAACCGTAGCAACAAGTGATAGCTAGCATTTCTATATAGCCTATTATTATCTCATTTGATTTTCAAAACAACCACAGGAGGTGGGCACTATTACTCTCAATTTACAGATTTTACAAACTGAGGCAAAGAGAGGTTAAGTAACTTGTTCAAGGTCACACAGTAAGTATCTGAGAGCAGATTTTCCACCTATATTACGGAATTAAAATTAATATCTTTTACCAAAGTTGATCAGCATAGTTTATTTATATGAAACTTTACATTATCATATTTAATCTTCACAACTCTGCAAATTATGATGCCATAAATGTCATACTAAACAAGCGTTCTTAATAGAGTACTGAATGGAAATTTAGAAGAGAATTTCAGAGTGGGAGTTTTATAGATCCTTACCTGCTTTGAGTTTGTTAAATACAATTTGGCTCCTAGATTTAAAATCTGTAGCTTTACAAGATCATCTTCACCAGTGAAGCTTTTAGCCATCTTTCTCAAGACATCAGGAGCAATTTTAGGAACACGTTCACAATTCTCCCCTATTAGCCAAAGAATACTTGCTCTAGCCACAGGAACCTAAAAAAAAAAAGTTGTAATGATGGATTGTTAAAAATGAGGTAGGTGTATTACTCTTAATATTGATACAGAATTAAGTGTGTTAAATAAGTCTCCGCATTCTAGGAATGGGCTCACATTTACATACTGCTGTTACTATTAAACTGTGATTGCCACAATTCATTTCATATTGTCTGGTGTGCGGTTTCTATCACCTTTCTTATTATGTATATAGGGATATGTCTGCCTCTCAGAATTCTATAAGCACAAGTACTATCTTTTCACTGGGGAATGCAAAGGAATTGATATTGCTTATTAGAAAATATATACATTCACATGTACATCTATGCTTAGCTATAGTAAAAATTAAGGACCACTCCTCCAACCTCCAACTCTGTTAGGATCTTTCTATATTGGCATTTTGTTCCCTTGCCACTGTAAAAACTGAATTAGGATTCATCTCTAGAATTTCAAGGAAAATAGTACCTCCATCAGGTAGCTTTTGATACTCTCTTAAAAAAATAATTCAAAGCCAGGCAATATAGAGGAAATTCCTAGTAAGACTTGTGCCCATGCTCATTGGCTGCTCTCTTGTATGCTTATGTAGTTTTCATTGTTCCCTGCTTTCCTTTGCTTTCACCATTAAAATCATTCAAAAAGATCTCCCCCTGCTTCTCCAAATTTCATGTCAAAGATAAGTGCATACTTGGGATGATAAATAAGATTCTTCATATCCCTCTTGTTAGCCAAGCTTCAGTCAACTGAGAAACATTGCATCCTATTTGCTTGTGCCTTTAAACCAATGAGCACAAAGACCCCAAAGTATTATGTAGATTACAAATAGCAACTTATTGCCCACCAGTCTCCATCCTAGAAACCCTCAAAGGAAGGGTTTCTAAAATGAATCAATAATGGAACTTTTCCTGCCTAAAAAGGGAAAACTGGATAACCATTTTTGAGGGAGCTACCTGCCGCATCATTACTCCAAACTGGCTAGAGATATGGAGGTCCATAGCTCATGCCTCCCATTTCCAGGCAGCTATAAAGAATATCCTTTAATCAATTTCTTCAGGACATTTAAGTCTTATGCATGGGTTTTCTTTCCCTTTCCATAGAGCAGACATTGAGCTACTACAGCAAGGCCTCTGCCTACAAATGCTGCCAAACTTAGGAAATGAAATCAATGCCAAAAACTGATCAAGCCTCTTCGTTTTAATACTTTTCAAACTCACGGAGAGAACCCTATTTTAAATGGCTTTAGTAAGCTACTTATATTAAATAAACTAGAATTTTCCTACTGTACTGTCCTCAGGGTCAATGCCTAGGAATGCTTTAGAGATGAAACTTCCCTATGATAAGGTCTGCTTAGTACTTTAATAATTAAATCCCAAGGGATGTGCTCTAAAAGACCACCTTATTGATCACGATTGGGACAGATAACACATAGTGCTACATAGCAAAATTCCAATGTTATCAACGCACAATCCTATCTCTAAAGGATGAGAATTATATATTTATTACATTAGAACAAAAATATCACTTAAAAAAAACATGTTTGGAGATGATGAATATGAAAGGAAATTGTTATATGAATACCAAATAAAAAAGTTTCAAATGTCATCTGAAATTTATTCATGCAATACAATAAAACTGATACAATTACTATACGCTGAAGAGAAAGGGGTTATTTCTAATGTTCCGAAGGCTACACCACATTAAGACCTTACTCCCAATCTATTATTTTAAATTGGGCTAAAGAACAGTAATTGAGTGCTACATTAAATTTTCCAGTATGAAAGCTGTTCAAGTTGCCTGACATACCCAGGCCTCTCTAAATAAGAATATAGGGACAGCTTCTGATTTCTGTTACGCTAGATTTATTTTCTTAATTATTTTCTTATATACTAGCTTTAAAAATTAAAATTCTATGACACAGCACTATCTATACCCCTCACTCTAGATAATTTTCTTCTAAAAATCATCAGTCATATCTAGGTAGCCTCCCTCTCCCAAAAAGGACTCATACAAAAATTCGCAGGTATTTATGAATATGGGAGAATCTGATTCTTTTGTTTTCTGCGAATACTAAATTCTAAATAGAAATGGACATTCCAAACACTCAATGTGTCTAAACATTTACTGAGTAAGTATAAGAAAAAAATATGCAGAATAAAATCTAAGGTTCATGATAACCTGTATCACCATGGAAACTGGTTAATTAAAAAATACAACTTAGTGATATCTGGAGGTATTTTAAAATCAAGGTGGTTATATTCCTATATAAACAGAGCAATACTTTCTGCAACAAGGATCAATGACAATTAGAGAATATTTGAACTGAATGTTTTTTAGAAGAGTAAATCTAATGAGCAGAAGAGAAAATGATGAACATGATAATTCCCTATGATTAGAACTGCTTGCAGACTATTTTCCAAAAGTTTAAGTCTCTCAGTTCTCAAACCACACAGCCCTGAGTATGATATTATGTTCACTATTTTTGTAGAGTTCAAAACCAATGGAAAAAAAAAACAGTAAACAAGAAAAATAGCCACTTTTTACTCTCCACAGTCTTTTCAATCACAGCCTGAATGGGGACCTTGAACTAGAAAAAAAAATACACAGGAAATCATACTTTCATTATGTAGCCCTACTTTGCATTCTCTTCAAAGGCAAACAGGATTGTCAATTACTTTGCCCAGTTCTTTACTCTAAATACCCTGAGCAAGTGGGTAAGTGCACTTTTCAGACCCTGGATGATCAGGCAGTTTCCGTTGCCATTTTAACCCATTAAGTTGCCAGCAGAAAGGAACAATGATGTCTGAACCGCTCACAGCAGTTCCAGAAAGACATCCAAAAGGATATTATAGATCATTTTGTAAGAAGCTCAATTTAAAAGCTATCATGTTTCAACAATATGCTGATTTCACAATGTACTACTCTAAAATAAATCTCACATCCATTTTTATTTATTTAAATTTGTTAAAGTAATCTGTAGGCACATAAACAAACTACAAACAAATAACAAATTAGATCTGATGTTTTTGTACCCGGATCCAATATGCTTTAAAACTTATATCTGGAAATACAAAAAAGTAGCAAGGTAGAGGGGAACTATTGAAACAACAGGCTATTTGTAAAACACCTGGACAAGAAGTACTCCAAGCGCTATTTTAAAGTTACTGAATGGTCTCTTACACAGTAACACCTTTCAAGGACACTTTTATGGTATGAAATCCCCACCTGTGTCATCAAACATGAATTTTATTTAAGGAATTTTCTGATGGTGTACTTTTTATCCCAGAAGAAATCCACTTCAAAGGTGGTATTTACTACAAATGAAAAATGCTCCAAAAAGATGAAAAATTCACAATCAGAACATATAACTGAATGTATTGTTGATAAAAGAATTTTGAATTAGAATTATGTTTTAATGCAAGATTTTAACCACAGAATTTTGCCAAATATCTGCCTAAGAATTGGTCCACAGTAATAACTTAAAATTTCATTTTATAAGCCATTTTAAGGACAAAGAGGAAAATCATAAGACAACATGCTGCCATTAGAGATGTTTCATTTTATTAAGTTTTAGCAATGCCTTTTCGTTTTACATAAGAAAAAATTCTCCTTCCTCTCTCTTATAAATCCCCTTACTCTCCTCCCCCCACCATATTAAGAATCCTGTGTTAGTATTAAGAGAAAATAAAAAAAGAAGCCAAATGCCTGGGAGTGTATACACTGTCAAATTCAATGTCTATTCAATATGGAAGCCAATGCCTATAATCTACTAAGAAGTATGTTTAAGGATCTGTTCTCCGGACTATCACTGATTGTTATAATTCTGTCTGCCTCTGAGTATTAATATTTTTTAAAATTTATATTATTATAGCACTATTTTTATACATATTATTATTACATACATATTATAGTATAGTATATTATTTTTTGCTAATTCTTTTTTTGCATTCTGCATCAGTCCATATCAATCTTCCCATATTTCTCTGACTTTCTTATTCAATATTTATTATGACCCAATATTCTGTGACATTCATATACCACAATCTGTACAATCACTCCAAAATTGAAAGGCACTGACTTTACTGCTAGTTTCTTGTTAGCACTAGTGTTGCTACGAATATTTTGATACATATAGGGTCATTCAGTCCTTCTTGGGGTATATGCCCTGTAGCAGAATCTCTAGTTTAAAATGTAGGTAAGCATATTTTAGTACCTTTTATTTAAGATCTCCAATTTGTTTACACTCAGGAACTCGACATTTTTTGGCAGGCTGAAAAAGCTTGTGGACCCCTTCTTAGACTAAAGTTTTTAAATGCACAAAATAAAATGCACAAAATTACATAGGAACCAATTATAATGAAATAAAGGTGCATTGTTTCCTCATCCAAGTTCACCAAAACCCCTGAAATCTATCCACAGACCCCTTGTGGTTAAGAATCTCTATTCTAGGGGTCATCCTAGGTCTACTTTGTTATAACATTTTAGCCCAATTTACTATAACATTTTAGGTAGTTTCAAAAACAGCTGAGAGGAAAATTATTTTCTGGGTCAATTCTTAAGTTATCCAGAAAATCTATCAGAAATATCCCTCAAAGGGGCAGCTAGGTGGAGCAGTGGATTGAGTATCAGCCCTAGAGTCAGGAGAACCTGAGTTCAAATCCCGGCCTCAGACCAGTGACCCTGGGCAGGTCACTTAACCCTAATTGCCTAAAAGTAAAAAAAAAAAAATCCCTCAAATATTGGCGTTTTCAAATACATAATCAAATAAAGCAAACCTTAAACATTAAGGTGTATGCCGAGAATTAAAGTTACATGGCTAATTAACAACACTTTTCTGAAGGTCTAAGACATAGCATAATACCTAATGGGTAATAATTACCCACTATTATATCTCTCATGGAACCTCAAAAAGTTTTATTTCAAGGTAATTTTAATTTGGGGACGCTCATTAGGAGTAAAGGAATGAACTGAGGCTAGATGTTCCTTTAAAACCTCTATGTTGAAAA